TGATAAACAAATCATCATGATTCGGTTGTCTCTTTGTACCTGTGATACGACATTTACTTTTTTACTAGTATTTTTTTTTATGAATTTTCGATATGAGTTTCTATTTGATACATCGTCTCTTCCTCGCTATCATCTCCATTATATTCCTCAAAACTTGTATCCCTCCTTGTCCTCTTTCTCATATACTTCTTCTCCCTCATATTCATCTTCTTCATATGCTTCTTCTTCCTCAACCTCTTCAAGTCTAGGCCAGAAATCAATTATATATATGTTTCTCGATCAAGTTGTTTTTTATTATTTGAGAAGTCAAAAATCCTACATGGTGGCTCTACGGTGAGTTTAAGACTTGCTCTCCCAAAAATAACTTTAATGAATCTCGAAATTACATGTCCATGCCATCGCAATATTTTTTAATTAAAATATTTTTATATGTCCACCAAAATATTGATACTGAGCCTATATGCTAAAAACGTGGCCATAAATATTTGTTAGCAAAAAAAACCCCTAGCTGCTGCGCCTACTTAAAACCCTAAGACTCAAAATTATATATAGCTGCCTCTTTATTTCATTGTTAAACAATTTTCGTCTCTTCCAACCTTTTTTTTGAGAATTTAGTTTCGTTATATGTTTTTGTTTTTTTATATTCATATATCCACTAATAACAAAATTTTCGCGATCAAATGTTAAGTATTAACTTCTTTTCTAGGCGGTGTTTTACCTTCATTAATCCTACAACGATCCTCAGCCTGCGACGGATCTCTTCGGCTTAAGGTTTTTCTGTATGTCTGTCACATACATTATTTTTTTATATATTACCAAAGATAGGGTTTAGACCATCCTTTTTGATCTTTGGTTTTTATTATCGTACCCTTGAAGAAAAGAAGAACAACAATTTCGAAGACAAATATTATGAACATGATGAAGAAGATGGGTTTTTCATCATGAACAACTGAGGAGGAACAAAAAAGGTTCCTACATCTCTCACTATTTCTTCACAGCTTACTATAGCGAAGACCAATTCTCAATGTGGATAACCACAACACGTAGTTAGTCGTCTCTGCCATCTAAAGCTCTCACAAAGTCCCCATTAAAACCACCTTCACTGGTACAACATTGATTTTTTACCTCTTTGTTTCAAAATGTTCCTAAAAATTGGCCTCTAATTAAAAATATCTTAGCAGAGTGAACATATATACGTTTAAATTACGGCCGAGATTCAACGTCGACGGTAATGCCTAAAATACTTTTGGAAAAAGCGTTTGGATGTGGAGCACCATTTGTGTAAATCCCTTTTGAGATTCAAAATCTATTGTCTTGGTCRGTTTTTGCTAGACYGATGRCTCTTATAAGGTCTTTGTTTTCTATATTGATGAGGTGCTTCTTATAAGGTCTCTGCAAGCTACTCTCCATCCTTTTGAGGGTTTTGAGACTCTAGCCAAAGTCTTCTCTATGGACATGACACATCAGCATTTTTACCTCACAATTAGAT